GCACTATCTTTTCGCAGCCTCCGCTCATTTCATTCAAACGCGACAAAAACTTAGGCAATTTTTTGGTCAGAAGTTCTTTTCAGACTAATGAGCAACCAGGCACTTTTAAATGCGCTCGTGCACGATGCAAAACGTGTCCTTTCATTCACAACACTGATAAAATATCGGGACCTAAACGATCCATTAAGATCACCGATCACTTCACGTGCACCTCCGCTAATGTAATCTATTGCATAACTTGCACTTATTGCAAAAAGATATACATCGGCGAAACAGGCAGAAGACTAGGTGACCGATTCCGAGAACACCTTCGAGACGTGGAAAGGAATGACAAGGACACATCGAAACCAGTCGCTAGACATTTTAATTTACCTAATCATTCTAAGCAACATATGGCAATCTGCGGTCTTTCCTTGCACTTAGGTGGCACGGAAAGCCGTAAAAATCTTGAACAAAAGCTCATCTTTCAAACCGGCAGTCTAAATCCCACAGGGATCAATGAACGCTTTTCATTCCACTAATTTATTCATGTTTTTCTCGTTGCCATGCACCCACCAATAACGTAGCTCCATTTTCTGCCTTTAAAAGCACACACAACCCACAATTCCTCTATTCGCTCCGACGAAGGGCTAACGCTCGAAACGTCAGCTTTTGTAATCATTACGGTGGCCAATTTACCATTTCAACTTTGTTGATATATCCAAATTATTTCGTTACTCCCACCGACGCAGCCCAAAACAGTTTCTTTCGAAACTATCAGCCTTTATTCATTTATAATGAATGGCCCGCCTTTTTGAGTACGTCTGAGGACAATTTCCAATGGTCAGGTTGCTCTTTAAACTCTCAAAAAACGCAAAAGGAACTTACTTTTTATCCACATATTTTATAAAACGGAGCTCTACAATACAAAGCTAAGGGGTACCACAATGCATTGCCACGAAGCTTGACAGCATACTGAGGTACGTTTACTGTAAAAACAACATGAGTAATTTTTAGAAGAGTTTAATTTTATTTGTAGGTACGTGAACACTAAGATAGTGACAGCAGCTATGAATCCCAAGCCCGAAACAACTACGGCAAGATGTCATCTTGAGGTTTAGAAACCTAGAGGTAGCAGTATGAACATCGAAAGATAATTTTGGATCGTCTGTGTTGTGTTGGTTGGCTTTTAAGAGAATAACGTAATATAAAAATATTTTTATAGGTTGTTGACAAAATAAAGCATTGCGTGTTTTGGAGTGGCTTCAAAATAAGGGAAAGCATTTATATGGTTTACGATTGATTGAAAGAGCATATTTCATCAGAATACAAAGCTCGTAGCTAAAGCTGTCGCACCATCTACCAATTTGTATGATGTCCGAGAGTTACTGCTGCGTTTCCCCCTACACTTCTTTCGTGCTGTAGCCGCTTCCTGCTTGCTTTACAAAGGGACAGAGCACAGCCAAAGCTTCTTTATTTGTTGAATGCATTTATTTCCATAGCATGCTTTAAGATCATATATTTCTTCAGTCCAAAGTTGAGTGTAGGAATTGGAAATTATCACTCGAACAATCTTTCGCACTGTAATTGTTATTGATGTCGGATTGCATTGTTGGTGACAATTCTTGACGTAAGATAATCTGAGATGAAGTCTGACCGATCAAATTCTGTTGACCCGGGCTAAAATTGTAATCGACCTAAAACTCTTTATCTGGTTAAGGTGGTTACCATATTCTTGTTGTCATTGAGCTCAACGCTTTTACTGCCCCCGAGTTTCAGGAGGACACTTCCGGAAGCTTTATACGTTGTTGTTTTTTCTTGTTTGTTTCTGTTACCAACGCTATCTAGATCTCTATTTGGAATACACGTTTCTTTTTGTCTCCCTCCAAGATATACCTTTTCGTTAGTTACTATCACCGAGAAGATACTCATGGTTTTTTTTCTCTGAAAAACCAAAACAAAGGTAGTCAAAACCGTAATTTATAATTGAAACCCCGATTTTTTTGTATAAGATCATTATTCTCATCTATAACATAATTTTATAGTCCAGACGGGTTTTCAGAGAAGGGTTGTTATGTGGATCCATCGAATAGCAATTACGAAGAGACAGTTTGCAGCTGCAATCATTTGACTCATTTTGCTGTTTTAGTGGACTTCAGCGGTGGCACAAAGGTAATCTTTTTTTAAAGTTATTTTCAAGTAATAGGTCCGTGTGGTCAAATAATGTATCGTCCTCTTTTTTACGTTTATTTGCGCCACAGCTCTCTACCAAGGACATCACTATTCTGGAGATCATCACGTACGTAGGATTGAGCCTTTCTATTATCGGAATGCTATGGACAATAACTCTGTATTTTTTCCTCACGTAAGTATTGTAATCAAAAGATCGGGAAAATACATTAATAGATACATTTTTTCACGCCGACTACGATTGGAAAGGCCTAGGTGTTAATTAGAAACTATT